GGCTTGTGCCGGAAACCTCTTGTGCAAGAAGTTAACCTGTCAGTTGTTAGAAGATATAGCTTGGGCCTAGGCTGCAGTTTCCACAGCTGGACCCCGCTCTAACACAAAGCATGCACTTAAGGAGTAGCGTGCGTGGGACACCAGGGCATTAGCAAGAGCTACACCTGTGATGTGCTAATTAACCATGCAACAACAACAAACCCCTGCACGCTCAAGTAGCTGAGGGATGAAGGTGCCTGGCACCTGAGCGCTAAGATCCAACTCATGCCGGTTTTTTTTTTTTGGTCTTCCTCAATAAGTGGAGTACAATGACAGAAATAGTCGTCTATTATTTAAATTAATATATTCACAATACTATTTTTACAGACAGTCCAGCATGACTAGGTATCAAATCGTCCTTTCAGCTACACAGGTATAAGCCGTTTTCAAGTTGTTAGATGAACCTACTGAAATGTAGATATATATGGCAGAAAGTGAGAGCAGGTTTGGGAGCTTTAGAACAGTGCAAGTTTTTGATAGAAACCATTTTTTTTTAAATACTAATATTTCAAGGTCCAGAAAGTGGCTGTAAGTCTTTAAAAGGCACACAGTACTAGTAGCATACCTCCTCCTCAAACTCTTACTTTGTCATACTAGAGCCGTGACCTTCGAATGTGAAATTATTTGAATACAGTGACGATGTTAATGATTGGCATTGCTACCTGCCATCTATTTACTACCTCTGTGCAAAGAAGATGTTTCCAACTATTTTAATACTAAAATAGTACTGTAATTGTACTTTATTAAAAAATGTAGAATGTAAAACAATTGTGTTTACATTTTTTTCTGACAAAGCTTTGCTTAGTTCAGTGCTTCTGGTATTTCTTTGTGCTGTGGTAATAGATAGCTGTTTTACACTTTTAATTATCTTTAAACATAGTATTTCTTTTTCAGGCTGAAGCCATTCAACAGATTGCAAGTAATATTACAGCATTTGGTAAGAGCAGCGTCTTGTTTGACTGAGTCAGAAGCTTTTAGCACTCTTAACTCCCCTAAGATGGAGAACACACAACACCTCCAATGTGTCCATTCATAATGGGTCTGAATTCTGTCGTTTATTCCTCAGGCATAGTGTTGCCCGCGCCTTTGAGCACTGTACTATAAGTTTTTCGTGTACTATAAATTAATGCTGAATTATTACCTACTTTTGCAGTTAGTTTTATGTTAGTTTCTCTATATTCCTTAAGCATCATTCAACTTTGAATTTGAAATTAGTTGTGGAAATGGTTTAGTGATTTGTTCTCTACTGTTAGAAGTTACTTATAGACAAAGCTGTTTGTACGTTTAGGTTTGCAGCATCAGACTGCAAGTAGCGATATACAGAGCTGTCTTTGTTATAAATGTCGTGGCTACTTTCAGAATGTCAGTTTTAAGGGACCATGTTATTTTTTTAATGATCTCAAATATCATCTAAGAACATATGCCTCAGAAGCTTGTCTGATGGTTATTACTTTGAAGAACTCTAATGTAATGTGGTTTCAAAAGAACCGTTTGTGAAATACAAATACAACTTGAGAAAAGTTGTATTTTCAGTGGGAAAAATACAACTTTGTGGGAAAGTGGGAAAGCCCTAGTGTAAAATTCCAAAATGCACTTTTTATTATGTTAAATGGTTTTGGGAATGTATAAACACTCCTGTAAGCATTTTAATTAAGATATCTAACTAATGTCAATTGCTTTATTTATTTGTTCATTTCTGCATATACAGAAAATGTCTAAGCATACAGATTCTACAGCTGAAGTATTGTTGGAAAAGAGAGGAGGTGCAGGAATAATAACTTTGAATAGACCCAAGGCTCTCAATACACTAACAATTTCTATGATCCGACAAATTTATCCACAAATAAAGGTTAGTAGGCCTTTTTGTACCCAGCCAACGCACATACATTATCTACTAGTAATATTAAAATTCAGTCTGACACTTTTTAGTCTACTGATTTAAGGAGTTAAATCTGCCAATGAGCTCAGATTTATAGGATGGAAAGGAATAGACAGTTTCCAGCAAATTTAAACGGGGAGAACTTATGTCCAGGAAACAAGCTGTCACACAAAAAGTGACATTTATCCTGTGGATAGATAAGAGACCCATATTAACACGACAATTGAACTAAAGGCAAGCAGCACTCACCGTTTTTACATTCCTTTTGGCAGCATCCATCTGGTCATTCAGCATGCCCATATTCTGAGTCATAAAGAGCGTTACCACTTGTTTGGGTGCAGGTTTCGTGGGGAGGTTGGGTGCCTGAGACAAAGGATACAAATCATTAGGAAGCAAGGTGGCGTTAGTTTCATTCTTTAAAGAACAACTTTATGGAGTCACAGGCCTTCTTTCTACCGGGTACTAAAGTATGTGAAATTTTGAGTGTGCAAACAGTCCTGTCTCATGTAATGTTATTATTTATCATATGCGTACAGTCACACTTAGTAAGTATCAGTATTTGTTGGATAGTTGCCTGCCTTTTTGTATTTTGGTTGCAAGATTATGCATTCTTTGAAGAACATTTAAAGAAAGAAATACTTAATTTTTAGTACTGAGCTTTATTTGAAACAGTCATAAAGATGGCATAACTTGTAGGTGTAGTTTCTGGTACACAGAACTAGCTTGTTTCTCCTTTATCTGGGTGCACTTACTTGATTAAATGACAGAAATACGAGTTTTTTTCTTGATACTGTTGCATCACTACTGAAGTCTTGTATCGGTAAATTTAGTTCAGAAAAAAATCTAGCCTTTCTACATGGCAAAAATCTGTGCACAGAGCAGGCATTGATTCTAGTTACTTTGACAAAATCCATCAATTACGTGAATGCTGTTTTTCCGGCCTTGCATCTTAGATTCACACAGCTTTTTGTCGTCCGGCCTGAAACTTGATAGTAGATCTTCCACGTTCCCAGCTTTCTGCCCCAGCATTGAGTTCCCATTATAGGGCCCTGTTTTAAGGAGGGCTGCCTTTCATCAGGGATTGGGAGCACCGTATAGGCATTCTTCTGCAACAGGAGGCAGCTCTGCGGATCCCTGATGTCGACATTGAATAGGAGTGATAAAATAGGAGCGGCAGTTAGAAATTCCCGTACTGGTGTATCTCAGACTAGTTCGTTTGTAACTGAAGTGTGGTGTGATTTGCTTTTTTGAAGAGGTGAAAGAAGAATTATAGGCAGTACACGGAGAAAGAGGACTTTAATCTTATATGGAAACGTTTACTTTTTTTTAGACCTGGGAGCAAGATCCTGAAACTTTTCTGATAATTATAAAGGGAACTGGAGGAAAAGCTTTTTGTGCTGGGGGTGACATTAAAGGTAAAGACTGTACTCATTTAACTATTTGACATGTCTTTCCTAGTTATCAGTTTAATATTGATTGATTTCCTTTATTTAGCGTGACTAAGGTGAACGGGGCTTGCTATACAACAGTAGGATATTAGTTACACTGACTTCTTATGACACCTCGATGCGCAGGTTATATATAAGTTACTTGTCATGAAACAGCAGGTGGAATGTTGTATAAAGGAACAAAAATTGGTTTGTTTATGAACAGCTGGGTAACGGGAACCAGCCATCCCAGGGAAACATGGATTCTTGTCTCTATCTTACCTTCCTAGATTTTCATTGCTGATGGCTACTTTGCATGAAATTTGAAGGGTCCCAGTAGGCAGCTCTACTACTCTTGAATAATTTGTATCTGATGTTTGACTCTGAGGTGGTTAGATAGAGCTGGTCACAGTGATCCGTGTATTCATGATTATTCTGTAGCTATGAACTGTAGTAAATCTCCAGACTCGGAAAGTGATCAGTTTTAAATCCTAGGCAAACAAGTAGCACTGGTTATTGTTAAATTATGTCCTGCTCTCACTGCCTTCTCATTTTTAGTATTCAAAGTCTTCAGCATAATCAGTTGTAAGTGGCTATTCCAGGTCTTGATATAGAATATTTTAAACATGACTACCAGCCAGTGGGAAGGGGTCCATGAGAGTAGAAAACGGACTACACTCTCACAAGAAATAAGTATGTGACAGCGTCTAGCATTATGAAAGGGACTCAAATTTGGAACTTCGCTCTCATGTTAAGTTGACAAAATTGTTTGCTCACATAAAATACAACAGGATTAAATTAGTATTTGACTGCTGTAGGGGAAAAATTGTTATCATGCTATATGGATTTTCATACTTTTTTGATATATGCTTTCTGTTAAGCTTATGGTTATCTTCAGAATTTTTATTTCTCTTAGTCATCTCAGATGCAGGAAAAGTTGGAGATAGACTGATACAATATTTCTTCAGAGAAGAATATACCCTGAACAATGCCATAGGTATGTTTAATAACCAAATCTAAAGTAGTATGTTTTTCATAATAGGGGCTTTGAGTGCGAATTCACTTTCTCTCTTTGCTAATCTATAAAAGTTTGAAGTAATGAAACAGAAGTAGTAATTTTTTTGACCGAGCTCAATATTAGGAATGTTACATATCTCATTTTTATACCTTGTGTGCAGTATTTGTTTCTTGTGCTTAACATATCACATAGCTACCTCATCTCAGAGTTTTTGGTAGTTGCATTTCAGTTATGAATGAAGTAAATCTTTGATACAGACAGTACAGTTATGCCCTAAGTATTGCTGATCCACTTCAAGACATGAGATAAAAATAAATGCCTGCAAAAGGCAGTAATATTCAGTCTAATAGCAGAAGACCAAATTATGTTAAAGGTAGGGTAAAGAATATTTTTCTTTAGGGTGAAAATGAAGAGTTGAATATTTCGATCAGAAGACACTTTTCAAAACACTGAATACAGTTCAGGTTTTAAGCATTCACCTGAAGCATCTAGTATTAGTCACTAAAGGAGAAAAGGTGAATATGTTGCATAACAACCTAGAAATTGAGAGAGGAATGTAGAATAAGAGCACTTTCTGAAAAGTTATGTTTCTTTGGTTTGGCAGAGTTCTCAGTTTTAGTATGTTTGTTATGTACCTTTCTTGCCTTCAGCAAGGAAGATGCTTTAAAATTTTCATGTACTTGGAAAAACTTCGTATTAACCTGGCAAATATTACAAGGATATATGCTTTAAACACTCTTGAAGCGATTAGGGTATTTTACATTTCTAATGCATATAATTAATTATGAAGCATAAGTTCTAGCTAAATTTGATATGATTGTATTCATTTAGGATTGAGATTTTTGTGAAAAAGATTTATGTTTTGTGTTTTACAACTTCAATTGTAAATTAAATTTTAAATGCTATGTAATTTAATTTTAAAATGCTGCTTTCACTGCATTTGCTGTTGGAAGGGCACTCTTCTGTGGAAATTTGGTACAAAGACTAGCATCAAGAACCGATGCACTGGTTCATGTAAGAGTAAAGTTAAAAATGCAATTCTTCTAATAATTTAGTCACACGAAGAATTTAACTGTTTTAAATTAGTGGTTTTTTTTTTTTTTTTTAAAGGCAAAGCTATATGGTTGCTGTAGAAATCCTAACAACATTGTTACAGCAGATAGCAGCATCGGCAATTTGACTGGAATTGAAAACTGACTTGAAAACACTGCGTAAGAGGCAGTAGTTTCATTCAGAGTGAACTTATGAGTCTTTGCTTGAATGGTAACTGAAAGTGTCAGGTCTTCAGTTTCATACCTCCTAAAAGCTCCAACAGCTAAAATTGACAGATATAATCAGTATTTCAAGACATTACCATCTCTGCCTGTCTACCGTGTCCCTCTCCCAGGGCTGTAACATGTAACAGACGTGTCAAGACAGAACATGTTCACATTGCAGTAGTTCACGGTCACGTTCTGGCTGAAACCTGCTAATGAATCTGGCTTTGTACTGAAGTACTGGACTGCTGGTTCACACTCTGTGCTGTTAATCCAGGCTGTGAGATAGTGGGAAAGGGAAGCTGTTGTGTCTGACATACTAAGTTACTTATAATAGCAAGATATGGCTAGGTTGTCAGGTACTCACATAGCAAACACCCTGACATTTGACAGTTTAATGTTCTCTTAAGACGGTACAGGAATGCAGTAAGGAAGGAACTGATGTTTCTTTCCATTGACTAGGAATTACTTGAAGTATTTTCTTTATAGGTTGATGTTTTATTATTTATCTTCTGTTGCTTTCATAGAATTTGTTCTTTTGAAATAAGACATGGGGAAGCGTGCCATGTATAGTTAGTCACAGTCCACTCTTTTCAATAATGTGCAGTTGTCTGCATTTCTCCTAGGCACTTGCAAGAAGCCATACGTGGCACTTATTGATGGCATTACAATGGGAGGGGTAAGTACAGTACCCTGGTGCGATATCTGATATCATTTGTCTTAAAGTAATGTCATATTCTGTTTTCAAGTTGAAGGACGTGCACACGTGGTATTTCAGACATTCCAATTCAGTAGCAAACATCTTAACCTGAACTCTCTCTGTGTAGCTTGTTAGAGTAGATTGCTGCTCTTTTACTGCTTCTGCTGTTCTTTGATAGCTAGCACAACTATTGCCAGATCCTCAGAGGAAGCAGTCTGGAGAAAAACAGCAGGATCCTGTCACTTTAGCAAATACCATTCACAGAGTTTTTGGAAGACTTGGGTGTCAGCTTGTAGATGATACAAGAGCTGACAAAAATTTTGCACTCAAAGTGTATAAAAAATAGAACTGTGTAGTACAATTAAGGAAAAGTCTCAAAAACTGGAAAAATCTCATTCAGTGCTGTAATTTGATGGAAGTTCAATCCTGATTAGATGTTCAAAACATGAGTTCTGTGTTTTTCCATGAAATGATCTAGAAACGTATCTACTGTCTCACCTCTATAGTACTCTTAGAACGAGTAAAAAGATCCTTCCCCTCCCTGCCCCAGGCCACAATTTATTCTAAAGATATGACTAGAGAAAACTCCATTACATTGCTCAGTGGTAATTGTTGTTTTAACAATTGGATCTAAATACCATGAATACGTAGTTAAATGGCAGTGCCATGCTTTTCCTCATTCTGACATGTTCTTTGTTCTCTCCGGTTTGACATCTGTTGGATATATATATGTCATAGCAGGGAATCGTATATGATACAATCATTTTGAGGTATTCTGAGTAATGAGTTTGACAGTGAAGGTCATTTTGAGGTATTCTGAGTAATGAGTGTGACAGTGTCACACTGTTTGCATGCCGTATTGTCACTGAGCTTTTTGGGTACTCACAAGTATTCCTGCACTGCTAATTAGGACTGCTTCAAAACTGCTCCTGAACAAGTGCTCTGCACTCACCACTGAAAGCAAAGATGTAAAGAAACTGTGTAATGTAGAACAATCAGTAATTATGGTGGTAAGCTGCTTAAAACGCTTATGCTGTCAGTTTATTCGGTAAGTGGGGTTTGTAGATTTGTCTTTGGTTTGAACATATCTGCTTATGGTATTAAGTTGAGGGTATTTATTGCCAGACTTACACAGCCTGAATATATGAGGATGAATTTTTTACCTCTTAACCAGGACATTTGAAACATGGCATAGATCTTAAGATGTTATGCAGATACCCAGAAATTTAGAGGACCTTCCACCCTAGAGCCTGGTCATTAGAGATGTATGGTACCTTGCTGAGAGAGATAAGGTCAGGGTAGTTGACCAGATGAGTCACCTCCAAGATACTACCTCTCTTGAGAGCTACTCTTCAAGTTTTTTTTTTTTTGGACCCTTTTCTACACCTTGCCTTCTGTTCTACCGTGTTCCTTTTTAATGTTTTAAGAGATAATGTTGTCAGGCGTTTCCATTAAATAAAGTTTAGCACAAGTAGAGGTATTGGGCATGCAAGACCTCTAAAGCTTTACATTAAACACTTTATTCCTGCCTGTCTGAAAAACAGTATTTTTTATTTCAGGGCAGCAGTCTATAACAGCATTTCTGAAGAGGTATTTTGCTTTTTCTTGTCTTGTGCTTTCTGAAAAGGAAAAAAAAAAACAAAAACCATAAGACTCCAAAGCCTCTATGCTTTAGTAGTCATTAAATGCTGTCATTCAGAGAGAAAGCATGCCATATTCAGGCTTCTGTGTTGCTGACTCTCTGGCTGGGTCTGATAGGCAGGGTTTTGTTTCTTCTGTGTTGTGGTTAAATCCTTGCGATGCCGTCAAGGCTCCAGACCGAGGCTATCGTTATCTTTCATGTCAGTACAATATGAGCACATGGTCTATTGACATTAAGTTCATTAAAGACAAGATGCAAGTGGAATAGCACGTGGTCCTTCATTAGGCAATAGCTCTCTTCCCCTTTGTTTCTCCCCTACCAAGCCTCAAAGATCTCAGCTATAGATAGCCTCCCCCCCCCCCAATCTAATGCACATAAATTACTTGTTTCCAGCACAAAGGGGAGAAGGGGACTAGTTTTACAGTCCTTTTTGCAAAAAAAGGCTTTTATCAAAGATATGAGTCCTAGAGATTTGTGAATAAGAGATAGGGAGTCCATTTATTGCACGGTGTTTTGAATAATGGCATTAGCAGCTATGAAAGAGCAAGTCCACCCAAAAGCTGATGTATTTTTAAAGGCGCTATAGATTGCACCTTATGATTGTGGCCTAAGCAGGAACAGAAATTTGTCCTTTGAAAAGCCTTTTTTTGGGGAGGGGGATTAAAAGAGCATAGTGGAGTCATATGATTGTGCATTGCTAAAATTGTTAGTTCCCTGTCTTTTAAAGGGAATATTGAGCTTCTAAAAGACAGCAGTTAGGTATCTTACACTAATGCTTCACACTAAATACACCTCCATTTCACTGAATCCTTTGCAGATTTTAACTGCAATTAGAGTTTGAAGGACAACCCATTTGCTTATCCTCAGTTTGATGTTGCTAGTAGCAGTTATCCTCATTTGGGGGAGGGGAGTAGATTTTGACTGAGCAAGTGTGTAATTTAATTTAGGGGAAGAAGCAGCTAAGTCTCGAGTTGCAGACCATTTAAATTTGTTTAATAGATGATCTTGAATGCTTTTTAATTTGCATTTGTTACAGCTACAGTTTACTCTAAGATGATGTCCTTCTTACAGGAGTGCATGTTTTCATCAATACATATTTTTTCATTTGCAGTACCCTGGAAGTATCTACTGATGGTTTAACTTATTGGGGCAACAGCAGTGTTTTTCAGTAGTGATTATTTTTTGTGCATGTGATTTGTGTTAGTTTTGACCTGTCTTCTACCCTTTTGCTTTCAACCTCCCATTCCCGTTAATAAGATTAGTTTGATTCCTCTGATTGGACCAGAGGATGGTCCAGTGAATACGATGAGAAAGTGTGTTAGCTCCCAAAGTTATTTTTCCATCTCTTTCCCCACCCTCCTGTTTGTAGGCCTACTGTGATACAAAAAGGTTCACTGCAGTGAGATTTTATAGACTGAAACCTGCCAAAACAGACCTTGAACTTGCCATGGTCATACTGTTATCTTGTTCTGCTTGCTGTGTGTATAGACACTATCCCACTGTAATTATTCACTAGAACTGCATTCATGAAGGAGTAATTATTCACTAGAGCTGTGTTCATTCTGTACACAATATAGTTAAATGCTTTCTTTTAGATCAGTCTTTGAGATGCTAGGGATCTGTGTTTTTGACACAATTGGATCATATTTCATCTGTCTTGTACTCTGGATCTCAGTATCTTAGTCCCTAGAAGCGAGTGAGCACCACAAGCGTTTGTCACTTGCGAACAACAATGAAAGGCTTCCCCCCGCCCATTTTGATATAAAAATCCTTAGCTTTAGAAATATTTTTAAGCTTGGGCTTAAAGATCAGGGGCCACCATTACCTGCTGCAATTTTACTTTTCACTTTAGACTGTTTGTCTATGGATAAAAATAGAAGCAAGTCACTTTGTGGTGCCTGAGCTATCGAAACAAGGAAGCGTGAACACTACTTAAGAGCGGAGGTACTCCTTTGCAGGATTACATGTATGGAGTGCACTGTTGTTACAATATGGAATCAGTTAAAAGTCAAATAGTGTAATAGAAACTCTGTTAAGTGTTTAGATAGTAAATGTTGCTACCAATGTACGAGCATCTTAGGTTTGTGATGATAAAAGCTGGAATTGCATCCAAAAAATGAACTAGTTTTGTTTTCAGCATTATTGCCTGGAGATTGGTAGATGACTTTCTTGAGAACTTAATTAGCCAATAGGTGGGGTTGTGGAGCTTGTTTTCCCACAGCTGCTATTCCTATAGAACTTCAATTTTTAATGAAGTATGTAAATGTCTTCCCACCTCCCCCCCCAATCTTTTTTCATTTATTCAGCTTCACAGCAATAGGTTCAAATGACAAGAACATCTCACGAAGCAAGGAGGATGGCATGTCATTAAAGAACAGTGGAATAAGTTAAAGATACCTCAGTCTTAAAGGATACACCCTGGGTATATACTCTCATGTTTCTAAAAACTAATTTTCAAATTATTTCACTTGACTGCTGTCCATAGATATTTTGTTTCCTTGAAAACAAAATACCCAACCAGTGGACAAGAAATGCACTGTATTTAAACTTGCAATTTTGTTATCTATAAAGTAGGTACAGACTAAACTGGTGCTTCTTGGTTCTAGACGTTTTCAACTTAATCTTTTCCCCAGGTATTTGCTGTTGAATAGAAGTGTTGCTTCATAAGGTCAGTCCAAATCCATGCTTTTAAATAGGGCTTTGGCACAAAATAAATTACTGTGTTGGATACTTCAGGAGACTGACCCTTGGAAAGGTCAAAAAAATATTTTTAACCTGTTTCAGTGGATTAGCTGTGCACCTTATAAACTATGGTACAACAGAAGTTGCAGCTACAAGTGCACTTTTAACTTTTGCTTATATCTTACATATTGAAAGCTGAGCCAAATAAAGTGCATTAGATTTGAATGGTGGCTTTCAAAGGACTGGGCTTAGAGTTTAAGGAGAACATTTGAAAGTAGACACTAAGAATATAAGTTGCAGGGTGTAGATTTGGCAGGCTAATGACTGTGGACTAGGAAAGCTTTAATTCCTTGAGTATTAGCATTTTAGTACCTGTCTACTTTCAATCTACGTTTAAGGCCAGTCCTTGAGTATTAAGGTGCTTAATAAGGTTGATTTCTGGGAAAGTGTTATTAATGAATGCAGTAGTTTGAGGTTTAGCATACTGCTGAGGAAAGATGATAGTGTGTGTTATCACACACTGTCCTTCAAAAATAAGTTTTCAGCTAAGAAAATGGAATAAGGTAATTGTGATTGTAGTAGTTGATGATCTTTTCAAACTGGTGGTGGCTTGAACGTAGAAGGCCGCTTTAAGTAACACGTACACTTTTGGTAA